TGAGGGAGTTGGGGTGGGGATGCCAAGGAAATGGGGGAGGCTGCAGGTGGGGAGCGGTTGGGGCCGAGAGAGGCGCTGGGTGCTGCGAGAGCCCTGTCGTGCTGCCTGAGGCAACCGCCGCACATTCTGGGCAGAGAGAGAAGGGTGAGGTGGTGGGGAGTGCAGGAGCAAAGCCGGCCACCGGGGAGGGCTCCCTCGGCATGGCCAAGCCTGCTGCAGGGCCCCACGGGGCAGAGAGAGCCAGTGTCGCTGCCCCCGGGCCTGCGTAGCCTTCCCAGCTGCTGCGGGGGTCCTGAGAAATGGCAGACGGGGATTTTCTTGTGCAAATACATCAGGAAGCTCTGAGTTTCTAACGGTTAAGAATTAACCATCATTACTGCCCTGTAAGAATAATAAAACACTACACTTCGATAGCTGGACGATTGTAGGTGTAGCATATTTTAAAAACGTAATTGAGAATTTGTTTCATGTCATTCGCCAAAAAACCCAGAACTTTTAAAAATCAAATTTACCAGAAGTGTTATTTACACTTAAGGATTGAAGTTATCCAGCCTGTGGGTTCCCAGACTTGATCTATGCATTACCTGTGGCAAAGCTGCTGGTAATTAACGTTATCATTAGCAGCAGTGAGAAGTGTCATGAGAAGTGTTTTCACTTGGGATTGTGGCCTGCTAGTGGAGTAATACTGCTTCTGCAGCCTAGCTTCATACTCCGAAACCAATTTACGTTGGATCACTTTTGCCATTGCTTGGCTCCTCTGCATTCTTACCACCAAATATCTTCTGAAATTTTGACACACATTTTCATTTATTTCCTCTGTGCATATTACTGTAATCTTGAACTAATCACTTAACACCAACTTTTTAAACATTATTTAACTCAATTTGATAAAAAATTGTTAAAGGTTTGCTAGCTTCTGATCTCCTCTTCCCTGAGACTGGAGTTCAGGTTTATTAGAGAGAGATAGCTGTTTCTGTTATGCTTACTGTGAACTAGGATTCTTGATCCAGGTTTTTTTTTGCTTTTACGTTTTGTAGATGTAACAGCATCTAGAAAATGTCCAGTGTACAACTGGTTACACCAGCCTATTGAATGTTAAAAACATTAAATAGAAGTAGTATAAAATACACCATTTAAATAAAATACTGTGCACAGATTTTATGTAGGACCTAAATTTACAGAAAAACATAAAATGTCAAAAACTTTCCTGGCAAAAACTGGCCAGAGCTTATCTTCTAAGTTACCTACATTCCAATTCTGTTTCAGTAGTCCTTTTTGTTGCATGGTTTTGAAATTATTTGTCCAGTTATGATGATGATTTTTATTATGTTTTTTAATGCCTCCTGATTCTTCATAATCCTGCTATGGAGAAGGATTTACATTCTGTGGAGAAATCTGATCCTGACTTAAGTCAGGAAATCGTACACTAAAGCACTTGTGTGGAGGCCAAAGTGCATGTGTATCACTCGTGTTTCTTGAGTGGTTCCCTTGGAGGTGTAGTCCTCTTAGTTCTGTGGACTTTTTTGATACCCTGACTGTACCTAAGTCAAAATTCTTCTTTGGTGAAGGCTTGAAAGCTTGCAGTAAGACTGACTGTAAGAATTTTTTATGTAAGTAAACCCTGGGGAATTACACTTCATTTGGGTTTTTCCTATTCCAGACCCGTTAGTGACCATCTAATTCATTAGGTTATATATGGAGTTTCTCTTTTATTTTTTCCAATGGATTATATCAATTACTTCTCAATCAAAGACGGAGAAAACATTACTTATTCTCAATTCTTTATCTACGTTTTCATATATGGATAAAGTTAAAGTAAGTTTGCTAGTATATTTCAAAAACTTGATGACAGAATAACCATGTCCTTATAGGTAGTATGTTACAGAGCATAATTCATTTTCCAAATATTATAATTAACTATTTACAATGGAGTTGTCATTTCTAGTCCAAAATCTGGGTATTGGAGCTTTGCAGAAGAAAGCAATTAAAGTATTCTGGTATGAAAGCTCTGCTGTATCTTAGCAATAAGGAACTAGATGTTTGCAAAGCCAGAGTCCTCCACTAGTAGTGAATATCGGTAGCCGTACCCTTGCCTGCAGTTTGCTGAGCATTAGGACTGTTGCAGGAACTGCCATAACTATTGCCACTTCCTTTCCACTCCAAACCCTGCAAAGTCTTGCTTCCTCACTCATGCCGGAAGAAACTGGCAAAGGTAAGAGTCTTCTTGCAAACCCACTGTACTTAACTTTCTTGTGAGCAATACCTTGATTCTATTTACTCTCTTTGTGGTTTTCCCAAGTATGTTTTCACCTAAAATGCAAAGCACTTCTTTTTCCTTTGTGAAATTCATGGAGGCGTGTGTAGTATTTGAATTAGAATTTGTTTCATTATACTCATGCTAAATTTTGTACAAGAGATTTGTTGAATAAAAATGAGGCAGCCGTTGGCTGAAAAGGCCAATGTAGTACTCATGGGCATGGTAGTAATCCAGTGGAAATCCTGGATGTTTCCTCAGGCAGAATTTTTGTAATGTACTGTTTGTTAACTTGATGCTGCATTATTATGGAATTATGAATATCATTCAATATTCCTGATATATAAATATCTATACAGAGATTTCATTATGAAGGTTTTCAAACAAGTCATTATTTCAGGGCCAAAAATACCACACTTTTTGATTAACAACCTGTTTTAAAATTTGCTTTACTACTTTTAATCCATATGAGAGGCCTCCTAATGTGTTGCTGTTCTACCATGCCAACACCAGTCCAGTACAATAAACAGATTATTTTAATGTGACAGTTTCAGTAGAAATGCAGTCTCATAAATAGCATACAGTTCCTTTATCTTAACCATTTAATTAAAATTAACACTAATGTAGACTTAACACCTGCAGAAGTCCTGTATTATAAACATGGTGTATGAAGTAGCTTATGTTGACACATTAATATTAATCATTCATTTAAAATAAAAAGTTTTTTTTCTTCTGATTCTAGGCATGCTTTTACATGCTTATTCACAGTGACAATACCTTATTCTTAGTAGTAACATAAAAATACTGATACAAAAATCTTGCCTGTATAAAGCTGTATTTCTTTAAGTGTGCTTAATTAAGCAGTGTATAGTTTTGAGTTTCTGAAGTAGGCTTCCATATATGTTTTAGACAATTTTTAGCTGATATTTTGGAGACTGATTTTTTTATCTATGCTTACATTTTGAGTTTTCTTTCTCTCCTATTTTGTTGCTGTTTTCTGTTCAGAAGTGAAAAATGACAAATGAAAATCCATTCTAGAGAATGGTCCATGAAGGTATTGCAGCCCTTAAGTATTTGTTTCCTTTTGTTACATCCTTAATATATGTCAAAATGAAAAAGGGCTGGTTTTGGTTTAAAAAATTTGTTGACCGATTTTCAATTTGTTGACTGGAAAGGACCAATTTGTTGGTTTAGTTCTGTTTCATAATATTAAAACAGGATCCAAATGAAGATACTGAGTGGAATGACATACTGAGAGATTTTGGAATTCTTCCTCCAAAAGAAAAACCAAAAGATGAAATCGAAGAAATGGTTTTACACTTGCAGAAAGAAGCAGAAGGCAAGTAAAATTGAAAATACATACCATTACTGTAACAAAATTTGAAAAGCTGAGTTATTTTCAAGAATGCTTTTTGTAACTTAAACATTGTACAATAATTATATTTTTATTTTAATTATTTTCACATGGTTATTTTAAAAAGGTTCTGAATTAAACATACAACACAGTGACAAACATTATGGCATATAACATGTACAGATAACTCATTTTCATTATTTCATAAAGGAAACAGTCAGTATAAGCAAGATTCACATTCTGAAAAACTGGTAGTAATCCACTCCTGTATTTCTGTATTTTCCTGTACACTTATAGTTAAATAAATTTCATTTTTTCTCTCTCTTACCCAGAGCTATACAAAAGTTGACTAATTTCTGAAATTAGTACATCTTTTTCTTTCATTAGTTCCATGTCTGTGTAATACTTTTCATACATTTAAAATGTTTGAAGACACTTTGGAGAACAAAAGGTGACTAATTTTTTGTTTGTTATTTCTAGTGAAACCATATGAAAGAATGAATCTTGAAGAATTAAAGGAAGCTGAAGATGACTTCGATGAGGCTGATAGGAAAGCTATTGAAATGTACAGGTATAGTAAGATATTTCTATCCAGATTAACAGTGCACATGTCACTATTGTATATGTGCATGCTCCTGAAACATAAACTCAGAACCTTTTGAACAGTAATGTCTGCTGACTGACACAACTGCCTTCTTTCACCTTCCACTCCTTTGCCAGCAGACAGCACTCACATTACTGTCCTACATCTTCCTGATTGTCAGTGGCAAAGAGATGCAGTTTACACTATATATTACTTTGACGTTTTGTTAGAACAAAGTTATTCCCCTTTTAAAATACTTAATTTAGTCTTAAAGCTGGATATTTAAATGAAAAAGAATAGAAGGGGCCACAGTGGGAACCACTGTTACACATCCTCAGTTCAGCTGAAGATGGATCATGCTACTGTATGTTTAGAGGCGTTGCATGTTTGAAGTGTTGTATACTCAACATTTATCTGTTACACAAGGAGGGTTCATTCTCTGTTTCCCTTATTAAACTGTACCTCTCATTCTATCACTCTGAAAAGACTTTCTGCCAGTCTTTAGGAGTTAGGGCAATGCTGAAAAATATTCAAAGAAAGGAGAAGTTCTGTATCCCATTTTCTCTCATCTCTTCTGGATAGCAATTTCTGCAGATTTCAAGCCAGGAGGAAATGTACAGTTGGTCACGGGTATCCCTTTTCTATCATGTTGCACAAGAACTTTAGGAAAAACAGGGTCCCAACATACATGGCCCCAACTTTGTAAAAGATACTGAGTTTGTGCATATGGAGTGTGTGCCACCTATATCAGGATGGCATGTTGTTAAAGAAAACTATATATCAGTGCTGGAACCAAAGTATTTAGTATTTTTAATTGATAATTAAATACTTAATCTGAGTATTATGAGCAAAATACATCTCTGCCTTTTGGATAGCACTCATTTCTGGTACAGTGTGCTTTCTAAGTATATTATTGAAACAAAAATTTAACGTAAAATTTATTATGAATTACAGTTTCATTATATCATACACTGCAGTTTCTATGCTGGAATGGTGGAAGTTGATAAACTTGTGTGTTTTTGAAAGATGTTTATCCAGTCAGCTGTGGACCCCTAATACACAACTGTTGTGTTTACTTTGCTTCTTATCTAAGATTAATTTTAATGGCTTTTCTATTTCTTACTTTGTGAAAATATTCGTTTGAAGTTTATATAGAAGGAAGGCTCAGGGGAGATCTAGTCAATGTCTATAAATATCTGAAGGGAGGGTATAAAGCAGACAGAGCCAGGGTGTTTCCGGTGGTGCCCAGTGACAGGATGGGAAGCCATGAGCACAAACTGAAACACAGGAGGTTCCCTCTGAACATCAGGAAACACTTTTTTACTGTGAGGGCGACCGAGCGCTGGAGCAGGTTGCCCAGGGAGGCTGTGGAGTCTCCATCCTCGGAGATGTTCAGAAGCCATCCAGACACATTCCTGGGCAGCCTGCTCAAGGCTGACCCTGCTTGAGCAGCGGGGTTGAATCAGATGACCTCCAGAGGTCCCTTCCAACCTCAGCCATGCTACGATTGTGTAAGTCTGTGATATACCATATACTGTTCTTAGGTGTAACTGTGGCACAACCTTATTCAACTTTTTAATAGGAGTACACGAATCATTTTACCTACAATACCATGCAGAGTCAATGTGTTTTATGAATTCAGGCTCAGAAGACTTTGGTAGCTTGTATGGAGACTTAGTAATTTTAGCTATACTGGACATTCACGTGTATATTTTTGTAGGTATTTTACAAAGTACTCTGCTGAGTTCCGCAGAGATTTGTACTGTAACTGAGAAAAATGAGACGTGTAGTTTACACAGAATAAAAATGCTAATATGATCAAAACATTCCCTCTGTCTAGATTCTATCTGTACTTACTGCTTTTGCTTTGTTAAAATGACTAAAACAATTCTGGTTCTAACACTGTGTATCTAGTGCTGTATTCTCATAGGAAGATAATCACATAATTATGTGGAAGTTGTGAACGTAAATTATCATGCATTGTTGCTAGAGTATAATAACCTTGCACATATATTATTTAATCTTTTTTGAAAAAGCCACTTCTACAGTGGCTTTCAGTTAGTAAAATTAATAGCTGCTTTTAATTCAACAAAGCTCAGTGAGGAATTTTCCTTTTCTACCTTGTAATATTTTTATAGATGAAGACTGCCATCTACTGTTTTTACATTCCAATTTTCATGAATTATTTTAAAATGGTCTCATAAATATTAGTATAAGTACTGGTAGTTCTTCCTCAAACTAGTCTCATTTTCAGAATCAGAAAAACAATTAGTACCTGCTTTAATTTTTTCTTGCTTTGTCTCAAATGATAAACCCTTGTGCAACATGTTTGTTACTCAAGTTTCCCAAATCTGATACTGAGGAACATAAGTCTAAGAAAATGTATTTTAATGTTATCTTATTGAATAAAGATTAGCATAGAAGCCTTTCTAGCTCTGAAATTACATTAGAAGACCTTGAGCTAAAGGGTTACTCAAAACATTTTTAAAGTAATTGAGAGATGCACTAGATATTATTTTAAAATTTATTTAAGGTGTTCCAAATGCTTATTTTTATTATTACTTTTTAATTAGGCAGCAACGCTTGCAAGAATGGAAATGTCTTCAGAGGATGCAAAAGTATGGGGAGCTAAGAGAAATTTGTGGAGAGCAGTACGTAAAGGAAGTTACAAACGCTCCAGACGATGTTTGGGTTATAATTCATCTTTATCGGTCAAAGTAATTACTTTCTTGTTTAAGATGTTGAATACTTCAATACAGAGAATTGAACTGGTAATTAAGAAGCAATATCAAGAAAAATGAAATACAATAGGCTAATGACATAGCAGTTGTTTGGAGGCAATGGAATCACAGAGCATGGGACCTCCTTGATTTAGGAGGTCGTCTCACAAAGTGAGATTTAATCACTTCACCTTTGTTCAATTATATGAAAGATTCCTTTTCCTATGTATGCTTATCACCATGTACCGAAACTCACTGAGATTTCTGAATTTCACTGAGAAAGTGGTGTCCGCTGTCTGTGCTAAGGGAAGTTCGTTTGCAGACTCTTTTTCTCAGCAGGAGTGCTCTAACAGGATTATTCTACCTTTATTTCCCCTTTGACTCGAGCAAATCAAAAGCCCAATACGAAAAGTCTCAGTCATGAAAATTGAGGAAAGCTAGGGAATTTGTTAGTTTATCAGTTCCCCAATAAATTCTCTAATGGTAGCAGAGGTTGTGACAGGATCCAGGAGAAATGTCAAAGGACTCCCATGATCAGTTCAGCATATTTTAGCAACTCTATTAGATGTTCTTCAAAAGCACTGAGAATTAGTATGGAATGTTTAATGCATTTTTTAGATTCAGACCAGCTTTCTCTTTTCCTTCTTTTAAAGCCTGTTGGGAGGAGGAAGCTTCTTTGATTCTTCTCAATTGTCAGGAATTGAGTATTATTTCCAGGAGCAATAGGAATAGGTCAGTCAAATTACGTTATGGTCTAGACAAGTGGTCTGTGCGGTGGGTGGGGAACTGGCTGACAGGCCGCACCCAGAGGGTGGTAGCAAGTAGCTCCTTTTCAAACTGGCAACCTGTCACAAGTGGGGTCCCCCAGGGATGGATATTGGGCCCAACGCTGTTTAGTATCTTCATAAGTGATCTGGATGATGGGATCAAGTGTGCCCTGATGACGTTTGCCCATGATACCAAACTGAGTGGGGAAGTGGACACTTCAGAAGGGAGAGCCACCCTGCAGGAAGACCTGGATAGGCTAGAAGAGTGAGCTAACAAGAACCTTATGAAGTTCAGCAAGGACAAATGTAAGGTCTTGCACCTGGGAAAACATAATCCAGGAGTGCAGCACAGGCTGGGATCTGCCCGGCTGGGGAACAGCTCTGTGGAGAGGGACCTGGGGGTCCTCGTGGACAACAAGCTCAATAAGAGTGAACAGTGTGCTGCTGCAGCAAAGAAAGCCAACAGCATGCTGGGTTGCATCAACAAGGCCATCACCGGCAGAGGTAAAGCAGTCATTATCCCACTCTACTCAGTGCTTGTCAGGCCACACCTGGAATACTGTGTTCAGTTTTGGTCCCCGCTATACAAAAGAGATGTGGACAGGCTGGAGGGGGTCCAGAGGAGGGCCACAAAGACGATCAAAGGACCGGGAAGCCTGCCATATGAGGAAAGGCTGAGAGAACTGGGTTTGTTCAGCCTTGAGAAAAGAAGGCTTAGGGGAGACCTTATCGCCATGTTCTAGTATTTAAAGGGTGGCTACAAAGATGATGGAGACTCCCTTTTTACGAGGAGTCACATGGAAAAGATGAAGGGTAATGGGTACAAGTTACTGCTGAGGTGATTCTGACTGGACACAAGGAAAATTTTTCGCAATGAGAACAATCAGCCATCGGAATAATCTCCCCAGGGAAGTGGTGGATTCCCCAACATTGGACACTTTTAAGATTTGACTGGACAGTGTGCTGGGCCATCTTCTCTAGACTGTGCTTTTGCCAAGAAAGGTTGGACCAGATGATCCTTGAAGTCCCTTCCAACCTGGTATTCTATGATGCTATGAAATGAAATTGTTCAAATTACAATAATTTAAATTTACAGATCTGAAGAAAGAAAATAGCTTTTCTTGCTTTTCATTGTTTTTGTTTACTGGAGAACCAATTTTGTTCTTTGTCATTGCATAAATACGAGTCTGTGAGGAAACTCAGAATTCCTTAGGAATGAATATGAGATCGCCAAAGTCTCTTATGGCTAGTAACAAAACTGCCTCACCTGTCTTTGGCCACGGGAGGGTGCTGCTGGAACTTTTTGAGGGTCCGTAGGCTAAGTCAGCTGCTTTAACTTCAGTCAGTTACAATGAAGATCCTAACTTCTAAAAGGTTAACAGGCTGGAGGGGAACAAAAAACCCCGTTGTTTTGTTTGGGTTTTTTTTAACTGAGGTTTATATGGCGATTGCATTGCAAAAAGGAGCTACGAAAGTAATGAACAGGCCTATGGTGATAATATGACTATACAAAGGTTTCCCTGACTTTACTCACATTTTACTAAAAGAATGAAGAAGTAATTAAATGTTAAACTGAAAGCTAGTTCAAATAAATTAAAGTAAAATGTATATTACAGATTAAAAATTCTCATTTAAACTCTACAATAAATGGACAAAATGAGCTTTAAAATCTTAGTGGAGATCAAAACTGAGGCACAATGCTTGAAGTGTCTGGTAGCTTTACTGACATATTTTATAGGCTGTGCCTATTATGTATGCATTGAAAATTCTTACTTGGACAGCTCTTTAAATCACAATGATCTTAGAAGCAGCTAAATAAAATTTGTGGTGCAATTCTTACAACAAATTAAAGTAGAAGCAGACTATAGGAAAAGGTACATTTATTCTTCAAAGGTTTTATTTTTAATAACTTTAGTTATTTTGCAAATCATTTACACCAGTGTCTTCATACTTTCTTATTCTTTTCTAGCATCCCAATGTGTTTACTGGTTAACGAACATCTCAGCCTGCTAGCCAGAAAGTTTCCAGAGGTCAAGTTTCTCAAAGCCATTGTAAACAGCTGTATTCAGAATTACTGTGACAGATGTTTACCCACAATACTTGTATATAAAACTCGTGAAATAAAAGGCAGGTTCATTGGAGTAGCTGCATGTGGGGGAATAGATCTTAAAGTGGAAGGTATGAGAAATATTTTTAAATAATTCATGTTATAGAACATTTTATGTTGTTTGTAATCATTAGACCCAAATATCACTGCTTAAAGGTGGAAAAGGTTTTTGAATATTTTTGTAGAAAAAAGTCTACAAAAAGCAAAGAAATAATTTATGTAATTCTGTGGTAAGAATATTGGGTAAGCATGGATACTTTGCAATTTCACGGTTAGATATTTTACTGAGATAAAGTTGGGTTGTCGCAAGGATGGCTCTGTTTGTTGTTGTTGTTGAGATGGAGCTTGGTCTTTTTAATAAAAGTCCTTTTCCTCTTAAGTGAGGATTTATTGCAATTATCAGAATAAATTGTCGTTTGTTTTTACAGAGCTTGAATGGAAACTAGCACAAGTTGGAGCAATAGAAACTGAATTAGAAAAAAAACCCAAAAAGGACATTATGAATATGACGACACTGTCAGCGTGAAATATTTCTGCTCATGAAGATGCCAATACAAAAAGTACTGATGTGATGAAATCACCTATTACTTGAGAAAATTTTAATGCAGATCATCTGTTCTGACATAAATCAGCTCAAATACAGTTTTTTACTCCTTTGGTAAGCCTGAAACAATTAAAAAAAAACCCAAACAAAAAGAGCTTTTGTTTCACTTGTATGTTTTTTTGGTTTTGATTTGTAGAAGAAAATTGATGTAGTAAATGAAAGCCATCCTTACCTTTGGATACCTATAGATGGCTGTCATTGACACCGAGAGTCTGGATTCTCCATCTCATACCAACTCCACTTAAATGGAATGGGAAGGGGAAGGTATTAGCTGGTGGGCTCCAATCCATACTTTCTTCCTCCTTTTATCCGGCATGGTTGCAAGATACTCCTTTAACTCTCAGTGAAGCAACTGTAGTGGAACTCTACTCTGCCAAGGACCTTCTCAGTTCCCCCCACTGAAAAGCTGACCCAAAGACAATGGTGTGTATAGCGATATCAGATCAGGATTTGGCCCCGAATCCATCAACTAATAGTTCCGTTTGTTTGACAGGTGTTCAAGAATCTTCTCCAGTGTCAAGGATAATCTTCCAACTATTTTAGAATACTGACGGTTGGATCAGTTGTTCCTTCTTAACAAAAATACATATATCCTTAACAAAATAGTTTACAGTACAGCTGTAGATAAGCAAAACTACACGCGTGAAAGAAGAGACCATGCTCCAGATTCAACATTTTTATTTGAGTAGTGAATCAAATTGTAGGGTATTAATGTTATTTTTCCAGTGACGACTCATCAAAAAAACAATCTCAATGTGCTAATGGAGAATTAGTTATATGCAGTTGACATGGTTTATATCATCAGGATGCAGAAAGAAAAACGAAACAGCAACCGTTCACTTAACACTTGGCACACAGATACCTAAGAAGAACAAGAAAATTAACATTACCCATTTTTTTTTCACCCAGTAGGATACAGCTGTGCTATTAGTTAATACCTACTGGCAGATACCACTTCTAGAAACTTTTATTTTGCAGATTCAAAGAGATAACTAGCAGACACATTTCAGAGATAATGTCTTATCTGCCATTATCTGCCACTTCAAACTAAAAAGCTAACTGGTAGATTTAAATGTAAATAGGTCATCAGTGACTTTAGATATGATTCCACAGTCACGTCAGGTGAATATCAGTCTTGGCTGCTATAAAAGGAGTGCTACCAACTGCTTCCTCTTAGCGGTGAACCTCCCTCCTGCTACTATGGGTGCCGTGAGGTACACAAGCACAATACACAACTGTACAAGTGCTAGTGTTGTCACACTGGAAGTAATAGGAATACGTCACTAGATATGGCAGGAAAGCACCAAACCTCCCCTTCGGTGACCCTTACTTATGTCCAAATGAAGTGACCATGCAATCATGATTGCAGCCGTCAGATGTGACAAAGCAGCAGCAAAATCCGAGGGAATCTGCAGGTTAAAAGCAGATGTTTCTGGTTCTTGGCCAGTTACACCATTTGTAGGAAAAGGGTCTAGGAATGAATGTTAGTCAACCTTTACAAGGATTATGTAGATTGTGACAGGCTTCTAAGTCAGCAGCTGTGTCAAATCCACTGATTTTAGTATTCCGGAATGATGTGAAATTTAGTTTCAAAATCAGCTTTCTCAAACAGATCTTCTTTTGAATATGCCAGTGAGGACCAAAAAGGAACATTCTGAGCAGATGATCGTTCAGTGGCCCTGAAGTGTATCAGGCACAAGATGGCGATGACGGTTCTGTAGGAAACATGGCTATAGTTAATGGAAGTACACTGGAAATTTCTGCATTTCTGGCCCAATGTAGTCCCACCATTCAATAATTCACAAAAGATTTGCTGCTCATAATTTGGCAATGCCTGAAAATTCTGTTGGCTCTCATGTAATCTTTGTGAGTGAAACAAAACTATCATTATACATCAGAGCAAACTCACATTGACAATAAGAGCCAGAAAAATAGTATTTCTAGGTGGAGAATACTTTCATAAAACCACCACACCATTTCTAAGCTTTCTGCCCTGTTCCTTCAGGAGCCTTTAAAATACTTCCAAAAAAGAAGCAGCATTAAAAAAAAATGACCTTGGTTAGGCCACAACTTCAGCAAAAAATGCAAATGTGTGTCATCTCCACAGCTGTGTTGCCTGTTTTGATCTTGTCAAGTCCCAAAATGCAAGATGTGCAAGCCACAAAGAGTAATTTGCTACCGCAACATTGCAGTAGAGGTAGGTGTTACGCTCCCATACATGTTTTTCTGAAGAATTACTACTGGTTACTAGTTAGTTAGATCTTTAGTTACTAAAGATCTTGTGGCAAATTTGATACATACAGCTTGATGCTATTTTTAGCCTCCTGGTTTCTTGGCCATATTCTAGTTCTGGTAATTATGCATTTTTGTTGAAAATATTCCTCTATTTTCTCCTGGATTTT